TTCAGCAAAGTCATTTTAGACTCTTTCCATCACAATGAGGTTACTGATACCCCTTTTATCTACCTTGGGGAAAGTAGATCCCTACCTTGGGGAAGTTTCCCTTGGGGAAGAATCATAGCAGTGTGTGAGTGTAGCTGAACTGCAAAAAGTGGTGAACAGGAAAGAATTTGCTGGAATTTCCACATAGACCTAAATCAGGGCCCAGTGCTGGCAGCTGCAATCCATGGGTCACCACCCAAACCACCCTCCATCATGAAGTAAAGGGTAGTTCTGAGCTATTCTTTGATTTGTTGGGGTTCTATCCTATTTAAAGCCACTCCTACCCATAGAAGAACCAATAACTTATGAGCAATTCCTATGAAATTTTTGTTCTGTTGGGTATAGCAATCCTAGTTTCAATCTTTTTTATTTTATTTATTTATTTACTTACTTATTTATTTTTGTACCAGGATCCAGTTCAGGATCTTATGCTTGCCAGTCAGATATTTATGCTGCTGAGCTTTCTCCCCGGCCTAAATTTCAATCTTTTGGTGAAAACCCCAAATTGGCTTTTGTAAAAGCCTGCATCTGGTTTCCCAGCTTGCCTTCACATAAACCCAGTGAGTCCTAATTCAGCCTAAATTTTAATGAACACGGAAACCTTGTCCATCATGGCAAGGAGCCCTGGTTCTTACTGGGCCTCCAGTCAGGACGACCCAGGCTTCCAAAGCTACGCTATGGATGCTAGTGTCTCATCAGCTTAATGACTGCGCTGCAGCACCCTGAACCCATCGCTGTGGCCCAAGTTAAGAGCACAGAGAGCACAGAGCCACGGCTTTGTGTGCTGCAGCAAGCACTGCAGGAACTCCTGCCTCCTGGATGCGGCAGGGCCAGCGAAACGTTGAAAAGCACAAGGCCTCCAGTAGCCTCTGGGGGAACTGCTGGAATGCTGTTTATCTTCAGACCGCAACAACTGCTCCAGTGTTTCACAACAGCAAGGTCTGACCCGGAGCTCAGCCGTGGAAGGCTTAAAGGAGCAAGGCCTGAAATAACCCCCACCTCTACCTCCTATCTCTCCCCTGTTGAATCCCTCTCCCACCCAACAATTCAGTTTTGTTTTACTCTTTGTTTTTCTCTTTTTTCTTTTTAAAGGCACAGCCTGGACTCCAATCTTGAATAGATAGAGCTCTGAGTAGGTTGCGGTTTACTACTTTAGTTGAGATGGAGACTACATCATACAGCTGGACTACAGAAGACACGGAAACCAGAAAGGATGGCTTCTTTTATTGCCTTAACTCCTGACTCATAAGAATTGCTCTTTATTCTGTAGCATGTGTGATTTTTAACTCTTTGTTTTCTCTATCTGGCATCTTATAAAAGTGGACAAACTAATCGTGCTTCACTCTAAAATAATAGGCAAAGACCTGTTTATGTGGTTTTTAATTTATCCCCATGTGATTTATGGGAGTTAGTTCTAGAAAGAACTAAGAGGTAGCTCCGTGAAATAGAATAGTTCATTTAATGATAAGGTTGAGCCTGGTGGGCCATACCTACAATCCTAGCACTGTGGAAAACTGAGGCAGGAGGATCACAAGTTTGAGCCCAATCTGGGTGATTTAATAAAATTCTGTTTGAAAATAAAAAAAAAATACAAACTAGGAACTGAGCAAGACTTAGTTCAAAGGTTCTGGGTTCAATTTCTGGTACTGAAACAGGCAAAGGAAAAATAAATAACCAACAAACCCATCTCTGTAAAATAGGCATTGATTTACCCTTCATGAGGATTCAATAATTAAAATAATATACACTGTTCTAAAACCTGAAATCTGACATATCATTGCATGCATAAAGTCCTGGAGCGTCTCCTGTGGCTTTCAGAATAAAACTGTGCACTCCCTGAGCTAGCAGAGAGGGGCCTTGAGAGTCCTGGCCCTTCATGAACTCCTAACACTATCTCTACTTGTCATCACTAACACTTCTCATTTTTTGGTTCCACACCAAAAAATAAGGATTGCTATCATGGTTACTTTTGCATTTTATTTCTCATGATATATAGATGATCACTAAGCATCAGAATCTAGAAGTGCTTTGACTAAATATAGGACATCCATAAACACTTAAATACATAGATGTAGTTAATAAATAATAACGGAAGCCACAAATATCAGATTTTCCTATTAGCAGGTTTGACTTGGATGCATATAACTGACCTATGTGTCCTTCCCAAAGCCTTTATATTTTACAGAAGCAGCAGAAATTCTTGGTAAGGTGTGGTGAGTCCGAGCAGCCAGTTGGAGAAAACCAGTTCCCAGGCATCCTCTCTCTTTTTGGAAATCCTTTGTTTAGCTTATGACTAAACTTCAACTGTAAAATAAAAATAATTCCAGTGACCCCCTGAACAGGATGCCCTGATTGGGTAACTTCAAAAACCTCTTTGAAACTCATTTGGTTGCAACCCAACTGGTCAATGAGGTGTCCCAGGATCCACAAAGAATGGCAGGAAACAAAAACATTTTAGACAAACTAAGGTTGATTCCTTACATTCCCACCAATTTGGAGTTATGAATGCAAAAGCTAAAGTTAACAGCTATCTTGTAATCAAAACGTACAGGTAATTACAAAAGAAACAGACACGCACAGATCACTAGCACCTTGGCCTAAGAAGGCAGCTGCATGAAAACCCACACTCTTACATACAGACTCCTACACAGCAGCTACATGGTTAGTACCAAAGAAAGGAAGAGGGAAAGACACAAAGGACAAGTTTCTGGACAGAATGAGTGCAAATGTGCCAAAGCACTTTTATTTTATTTTCACTTTTCTAAAACCTGAAATCTGACTTATCGTTGCGTGCATAAAGTCCTGGAGCATCTCCTGCGACTTTCAGAAGAAAAATGTGAACCCCTTGAAATAGCAGAGAGGGGCCTTGAGAGTCCTGGCCCTTCATGAACTCCTTCTAACACCATCTCTGCCTGCCATCACTAGCACTTATTTATTTATTTATTTATCTATCTATCTATTTATTTATTTATTTATTTATTTACTGGCACCAGGGATCAAACTCAGGACCTTAGGCTTGCCAGGCAGGCACTTAGGACACTCAGCTCTCTCCCCGGCGCTCCTCCTTTAACTGTTTCTGCAGCCAGGCTGAAATGCTATCTCCTCCTACTGTTTCATGCTCCTAGGTTTTGATGCACATGTCTATACTTGCTTGATGTAACCTTCCATCTTTACCTGCTCTGACTAACACCTCACTACCTCTAATATTTGTCCTTTATCAGTCCTCTGATATCTACAGCCACCGTCGTTCCCCACTAATTTTCCATTGTAACATACAACTTTCTTACTGTTGGTTCTCTAAATTTTCTCTTCTACGATGGGCTCCTTCATGGTAGTACATTGCCCTAATTAACTTATTATTCCACTGGGACCAGTAATTCCCCTGACTACTAGTGCTAAAAGAGCATCTAGCACGCAGGGTGTACCTAGTCACATATCCTGCAATCTCAGTTACTCAGGAAACAAGCAGGAGAATACCAAATGTGAGGCCTGCTTGGAAAGTATAAGAAGATACTGTCTCAAAGTAAAAAAAAAAAATAAATAACTCTGGGAATGCAGCTGAGTTGTAGAATATCTCTGGGTTCAATCACCCATACCCCTCAAAAAATTACTGAATGAATATGAAAAATTAAATTAAAAAAATAGAGATGACTGTCAAAGTTTTAAACTCTGAGTTGTTAAAGATGAGGAATATAGGGGCTGGGGATATAGCTCAGCAGTGTAAGTGCCTGCTTAGCAAAAGCAAGATCCTAAGTTCAATTTTGATTCCCATTACTGAAAAAAAAATATAGAAGGGAGACAAAATTCTGATTCATCCTTGTTTTAGCAGAATGACTATGGTTTTTTCGTTTTGTTAATAAGTGTCTAAGAAATTGGCACTGCAAGGCCTGCCTATAACTCTAGCATGCTATAGTGCTGAGTTAGGAGGACCACAAATTAAATTCCAAGCTCAGCAACTTAAGAGAGACTCTGTCTCAAAAAAATAAAAAAAAAATGGAGGAGGAAGAAGAGGAGGAGGAGGAGGAGGGAGAGGAGGAGAAGAAGAGGAGGAGGAGAAAGAGGAGGAGGAGAGGGAAGAGAGAGAGGAGGAGAAGGAGGAGAAGAAGAAGAGGAGGAGAAGGAGGAGGGAGAGGAGGAGAAGGAGGAGAAGAGGAGGAGGAGAAGGAGGAGGAAGGAGAGGAGGAGGAGAAGAAGAAGAAGAGGAGGAGAAAGACGAGGAGGAGAGGGAAGAGAGGAGGAGAAGGAGGAGAAGAAGAAGAGGAGAAGGAGGAGGGAGAGGAGGAGAAGAGAAGGAGGAGAAGGAGGAAGGAGAGGAGGAGGAGGAGAAAGAGGAGGAGGAGAGGGAAGAGAGAGAGGAGGAGAAGGAGGAGAAGAAGAAGAGGAGAAGGAGGAGGGAGAGGAGGAGAAGGAGGAAGGAGAGGAGGAGAAGAAGAAGAGGAGGAGGAGGAGGGAAAAGAGGAGAAGAAGAGGAGGAGGAGGAGGAGGAGGAGGAGGACAAAAAACATGGAAAAGGGCTAAGAATGTAGCTCAGTGTGAAAGACATCAGTTTGATCCCTACTATCAAAAGGGAAAAAGTTTTAAGGCCAAACGTAGGACAGAAGAGAGTATAATTTTACTGTGTCGATCTCAGCTGAAACACAGATATGTTTGCTTGAGACAGTAACCACTTAGCTGCCTTGCTGGCCACTAACATCCCTGCCCTGCCGAGGCCCAGAAATGTGAACAGAGGCCATGGGGAAAAGACAGCCCACGAGAGAACAAAGCTTGGTGGCCTCTTCGCCAACCCCAGATTCTGATCCTTTCAGGCCTCATTTGGGAGGTTTCTTCTCTTGTGTATGTTTATTTAAAACATGAGAACGAAAATTCCCTTTTGTAAAACTACCCTATTTGCCAAATTATCTATTATTTATTTAGGAATATTTGAGTCCCTGTATTTAAAACATACCTAAAATCTTTCTCTCCAGTCACCCAATCAGTGTGTGCTAGATTAGGCAGCCAGTCATTATCCTTCTTTGCCGGATGCATGCGAACAGGACATGACTTCATGTGCCTCGTTCTTCTCTTTGGACTTCCCCTGGCCCAGGAGATCTTTCATAGATGGCCTTCGTCTCGGTTGGTTTTCCCTCTGCCATTATTGATTAATACAGTCTCAGGCTTGGGAAGCAGTCTGAAGTGGAATCTTTCCTAGATAGTTTCCTGGATGGCTGTGGAATTTCTGCTTGAAAACACATTCGACACAGACCTGTGTCTGAGGGGAAGCCCATCCAGCTTTGAACAACAGTGGAGACTTCATGTTGTGAAGACACTGTTCCTGCAGCCTCCACATGAGAAGGCTGAATCTGCCCTTTCCTGCCACAGAGCACAAGTGCAATTCTTCCTCCTTGCCAGCGCTTCAGATTTGGGAAGATGACGCAGATGCGTCCATTCAGTTCTTTCCAAGCTATTTTCTCACAGAATGATGAGGACGACAAAACAGCAAAGAGCGGTATTCTCATGTACCTCCCTCAGCAGTGGACGTGAGCCCTGCATACATTCCTTGGGTCGCATCTTTTCCAGTCTACTTTCCATCAAGATCCCACTATTACTAAGCTCATAAATCACTGCACACTTTCCATCACCTATTCTATCAAAAAGTGTAGTGCCTGTGACATTGCCAACCTACCAGACACACATATGTGTGTCGTACATTCACCGCTGACATACGATATTTACTTAAGCCCCTGTTCCATCTTGTGACAAAAGAAACATCTCTTAAGTTTTGTAAGTTTTGGCAACCGTTGTCCCTTTGAATTTTCCCTCTGCCAGTTTGTGATTTCCCTTCTGCGTGTGTGAAGGCCTCGCAGTGTGCTGAGGCTCATTTCTCTTCAAGGAAAAACTTCGTGGCCTAGACTATTTCTGCCCAAGCCGACTTTAGCTGTGATATTTGCATTTCTCCTTATCAACATCAATACTCATGTGCTCACAGCTCTCTCTCCTCGATTCTCCTCCACTTTTATACTGGATCCCACCTCCTCCTACGGGTAAACTAGACGGGCCCTCAGGAGCACACCCAAGATCAGCTACTGACGGGTCAGGAACCCACACTTTCCGTTTCCTTAGTCTTTCCAATTCTACAAATAGCAACTCTATCCTGCTAGTTACTTGAACCAAAAACTGTGTGATTAACTTTGATTTTTCCTTTTTTAGTAAGTCACATTTGTTTATAGAATAATATTGATTGTATCTTCTAAAGCATCCAGACAGTAACCACTTACATAAATCCAAACCATCATTATATCTCACCTGAGTTTTACAGTAGCCTCCCTTAATGCTGCCTCAATTTCCCTCTTGACTACTACACACCATTTCACTCAGAATATCTAAAGAGATCCTGATAAAAATTAAGTCAGGACATAGGAGAACCTCTATTGTAACACCATGTAACTCAGTTGTGTCCCAAATTTTCTGATCAACAAGAGTATAGGGCCACAGAAGAAAGTGATTGGTGATATAGAGTGTGCCTAAGGAGAGTCACATGGAGAGAAAACATTCTCTCAGGCTTTCTCAGAGAGCAAATTGGTCAAGCAATGACCGTGAGTCATCCAATGTGGCTGACACTGACAAAGGATCTACAAACTGTGGTACAGAGTTTCAGGTCAATCTTGAGAGGATTTGACTGACCTTGTCAGATAAAAAAGTTACATCTCTTATATAGGTTTTGCTTTATCTTGTTCTTAACCATCTAACAGAAAAGTATAAAATCTAAGTATAAAAAGTAAACCCACATTAATATGTTGAGCTGTAAAAGGCTCAAGTCAACAACTTCTGGCATTTCCAGTCCTATGGAAAACCCACTACTAGTATAGACTACTGAACTATATTAGAATATTTAGCTGAATTTATACACCTACAATATTTAAATGACAAGGGAATACACTTCTCTGACAAAACTAAACAAAAAAGGGGATACAAATGAATGACCATCTTGTATCTGTATATTCAAAATAGGATAGTTATACAGCCATTTTCTCAATGCAATGAATAGAGAGATTTGTTCTAATAGATTGGTTCTAATTTGTGGACAGGATATCATGTCTGCATCTTGTACAATGAAGAACCACTAAGACAACAATATGCAATGTATTAATCATTGAAACTGTTCTACTAATCAGTTTTGAAACTCTTTCATTGCTATTTGTTTCTCAATGAAATTATTTTTAAAAATGAATCATAACCATGTAATTGATAGGCATTTGCTAC